CTATAGGTTCCTGATTTGGGAAAGGTGCAAGGCAGTAGAGATCTTAACCCCTTCTCTATACCTTTAGCCAATATGGAATAAACAAACACATAGCAATACAGGAAGCAAGACAACTCGCCCCACTGCCAAATTGCCCCACTTTTCCACCAACTTGCCCCACTTTCCACCATCAAGCCCCACTCTTGTTTACCAACTCGTCCCACTTATGATATGGGTAAAATCCTGATGAATAAATCTGCCAACTCGCCCCACTTATGATAAAATAGTAATATCCCGATGTCAGGTATTTATTTGGGGTCATAAACCATGGACTACTAGGGAGGTAAAATATTGCTACCTGCTGGGCAAATGAACAGTGGCTCTTTTCACAAAAAATCGTAAGAGTAAAAATACTTGTTAGTCATACACGTTTCAGTATGACTTGCAATCAATTTTAATCGTGAGATTTTTTGTGAAATGAGTCGCAGGTGTTCATCCAAGTATGTAAATTTACTGCCACAGGTTGACAATTTTGTTTCATATTTTGTACATGCAACAAATGTGCAAAGGTTCATGTTTACCTTTGTTTAACAGTTGAAATTTTGATAGAAAAAATCAATCTTTGGATAGAAAAATCAATAAAACTGGAAATGAAAATAATATATAATTATAGAATATACATGTATTGATTAATTGTACATTTTAATAAAATTATATGATCTGAATCATATGTAAATGCTATCTTTATTTATTACAATCAACATGATCAAAATTATTATAAATTCAATTATATTCATTTTGTAGCATGTTTCAAATAAAAGTGCTAAGGTTAAAGGTTATAAGAAAAATAGCCAAATGTCATAAAATAAAGTCAAATAAAAAAAATGCTGTTGTCTGTTGTACAATGTGGAAAATTGGCAATTCCTGTTATCCTTTTTTATTTAAAAATTTATTAAATCACATAACATGCATAACAAATGATAACATTGGAAGTCAAGTTTTAGATACATTATTCAATATTTTATTTACTGCTTTTTCTTCGCTAATCTTTACACTACTATTTAACAAACGTAGGACAGACAGGCACAAGACAAAAACTCAATCTCTGTTTTGAGATAATTTTTCTTTGATAAACAAAAAATGTATGTTCCAAATTTATTTTTTTTGTACTTTTCTTGAATAAACTTTGTTAACAAGGTGTCTTCCCGATTGTCCCACTTTTTAAAATTACAGGTAAAAAAGTCATGAAATTTTGTGGGACAATCGGGAATATGTTTGTGGGACAATTGGGAAGCTTAAATGTGGGACAATCGGGAATTGTTTTGATAGTGATTAATTTGTTTGTATAGGGTGTAGAAGGAATAGTTACAGGTAAACAATCAGTGTACAATTGAAGTATCATCAATCATAGAATATAATATTAAGTAAAAAAACATCACATATCAATTTTTCATCCTGTCTTGTGCAAAGTCATTTATTTTCAGTTAATACCAGGCCAAGTTATTCATTTTCAAAATCCTCCTCCCCTCCCCCTTTCGAAATCAAATGGTCGTCCCCTTATTGAAAGCTAATGTAAGGACGTCATCAATAGTCTTAGAAAAGTATGATCATAAACATCGTTACCGTAAAAACTAGGATTCTACTATTACAGCATGTTTTACTTACTTACTGTATTTTGTAGAAAGTCTTTGAAAAAAGGATTATACATTCTGTATATGCCTGTCCCAAGTCAGTATCGTGCCGGTATTTGAGTGGTTGTCGTTGGTTCATGTTTGTCATAATTTTTTGGTAAATTGTTAAGTTATTTTGGCTGTTAGTTTTCTCAAATGAATTATATAAAATTTTCCATATCGGGGCATTTTATAGCCGACCATACTGTATGGGCTTTCTCATTGTTGAAGGCCATACGGTTGCCTATAAATGCTTACTTCCACATCTCCTTATTTTTATATTATACAACTAGTACTACATAAAATTAACATTATCAATGTTCCATGTAAATGAGGTAAGGTCAGATTAACTCTGTCACAAAGACATGTACACCCTGCTACCATTCCATACACCACGTATTTGACCCACTACTTATAGCATCTGAGATACGGCCTTGGCCATTGAAACTTAACCTTGTTCATAGATCCATAAAATGAGGTCGAGGTCATGTGAACGAAGATGTCTGACGGACATGTAGGCATTGCAAGGATACCATATATTAGACTAGTAGCCAAGTATAGTTATCCTAGAACCTATGATAAACGAGACATTCACATGACGAAAACAAGCTATACAGTTTTTAGCAGTCTTCAAACCATGATCATGAAGTCAAGGACAATGATTATATGACAGACGGGAACTTCGTAACACAATGGATCTATATACAAAATATGAGCCATCCGATTCCTCTACCCCCTGAAATATAAAGCTTTACAAATAGTTAACGGTGTTGCCGTCACCACCATCAGATTGTATTCTGTATGATAAAGAATCTTGTGTAAATGGCATCTGACTTCACTGGTAAAAGTGCAAAGACTAGTGGAAACATCTCTCCATCAACTAGTGCTTTATAGTGTACAGCGTAATTAAGTTTTAAGTTACACTTTTCTTTAAATTGAATGGATTATATCTTAATTCCTTTTAAAAACTTTCGAAAAAAAATTTAAATTAAAATCACAGTATTGATATTTGTTTTATATAAATAAACGTAAGCTTATAAATATAATTCATAAATGTTATATTATTTACTCAAAAGTGCATTAATCTGATGATATACCAAAAAAATCATATCTTATGCTTTTATAAAATTTATATTAAATAAAAGTTTGAACAAGCAATAATTAATTCTTGTTTATCTAGCAAAACAAACAATATATTCCTTGTTTATTTAAGAACATTTTACTTCATAAAATAATGTGGGACAATCAGAACTTTTCATGTGGGACAATCAGAACTCTAAAATTTTAAAAAGTGGGACAATCGGGAATAAACCGTTAACAAAATTTATTAAAAAATTATTATAATGATCATATTATAATTGTTATGAAAACAGACTGTCTTAAAATACTGGCTTCTTGATGCCGATAGATATTAAATTTTGATAGTTATTCATTTAGAGTAATAATGATATTAAATAAGCGATTTCCTTCAATATACTTTTTTCATAAAAAGATATTATTTCAAGCATTTCCTCTGTCATGTCAACATGTTCAAACAATAGTAAACCAATTAACTGTGACTATTGTCCTATCCAAAACTGTAGTTTAATTAAAATAATGAATTCTTTGTATAAATTGAAAACATGTCTATGGATTTTATGGCAAAAGTCCCTTTCAATATAATATATAAATCATGTAAATGCAGTATGATTTTTACATTCACACACTATATATCACTGTTGAACTATTTCAAATATTAAGAAAGTTTGATTAATAGAATTTTTTTATACCAAGTATACTACAAAAGATAATAAAATATAAATTCTTACAATGTAAAGTTAGAAAAATAAAATCTAAAAATCACATTTAGTACTAAATCATAGAAAATATTGGATTTTCATTCACTAAATTAAAAGAATCTCACTATACATGTGAAACTTAAGAGGCACTGCTTATATATGTATAATATAAAGTATATTAATTAACAGAAAATAGTCTAAAGTAAAAAAATAATTATGATTAAAAATACAAAGCTTACCAAAAATTATTATAACTGATATATATATAACCATTTGTATACATTGTGCAAATTTAGATGTGGTAGTCACCGATTGCCAGTTGAGACGGGAAGATGGCATGGCCTTTAAAGAGACGATAGAGTATGCCACCTTTGTGACTCAACTGACATTGGTGATGAATACCACTACATCATGACTTGAGAAACACTAAAAGCAGATAGAACAAAATTCTTATCTAATTATTTTTGGAAAAATCCAAATACATACAAATTTAATATTTTACTCAATTCTACAAATACTGTACAATTAGAAAAGCTGTGTAAATTTATTAAAATTATTAATGTGAAAGTATGTCTTTCTAGTTAAAATATGTAACTTACATGTAGTAATTCACACATGCATGTAGTAAGTCTATTTATGTCTATTTATGTATATGTTGTGTACAAATTGTAATTTAATTATAATTTGTACAGTATTTTTGTAAAAGTTATCAGTATTTTGTGAATCTCTTTACATAATTACATAAAATAAGCACAGTGTCTTTGGTTAAGCATATCACTGTTTTATTTCCACAACTACAATGTACATGCTACAGTCTTGCACATACATTTAGCACTGACACAAAGTTTATATGAAAACACTAAAATATATTTTGTGGACATAGAATTTGGTATTAGTCAAAAAATAAAAATATAATCTAAACCAATCAGGTGTCTTTATTTGTAGTTTTATGACATAGAGGACAGTGGTTAATGTTAGGTTGATGTATATAAATTTGTGAGTAAAACAATGAACTGGATAATTATTGAAGATAAACTTGTATCACTTGGTGAAAGAAGGTGTTTGTCAAAATACTGATAACTTGTACAAAAACCCTGTACAAATTATAATGTGTACGAAATTACAACTTGTACACAACATATATATATGTAGCATTCTCTGTAATTTGTATTTAGTTTATGAGAATAAAACATTCATTCATATATTTCACTTGTTTAAAATTCATTTAGATTTTTACCTGTAATTATTAAATAGTAGTTTGTCCATTTTATTATTGGTTTGCAATTTCACTGATATATACCCCAAGTCTCTTTTTACTCATATCCTAGATATCGTAGGTGATAAACACCAAATGTGGTACAATTGAATATGATATATTTTATATTTTTCATCTACAAAGATGCCATAAGGTAACTTTAAAGGGATAGCAAATATTTGTATTCTGTACATATTCACGAACATACATGACATTTAAAGGGTATACAATATTATTCATATTTGAATTCAGGGTAGGTGGAAAAGAAATAAAATATTTAGCACATTTGTATGTTTAAATTTTATATTCTTTTTGTAGATTGTTTAGAAGTTTTGTGTTACAGTTTACTCTCTCAGTATTGTTAAGCAGAGCTTTGGATAATGCACCAACACTAAAATGTCTGGTGAAATTGCTCAGTCAAATGAGTATCAAAGTTTCCGTAGTTCTGTGTCACAGAGAAAGGTGAGTCAGAATTAGCTCAATTCAATAAGCATAAAAGTTTTTTTAATTGTTTTGTTCCAAGAGGATCCTAAGTCATGGCTGTGTTGCAATATTTAAACAGATGGTTAAAGTGAATATTGAAACCTTCAGGTATCAATAGAAAAATATAATGAAAAATGGTCGGTGGCAATGGTGGGGGATAAATTTTAAATGTTAATGTAAAAAAAATCAATACAAGGAAAATAAGAATACACCAAGTCTGCTATCAAAACTATTGAGTCAGGGAAGGACATAACACCATGGCCAAAACTACTTAAAATATATTGATGGGTTTTGCCCTTTGCTTTTTATAATATATTAATTACTTGAATAGATTTGTAGTTGCTGAATATAACAGTATGCCTATTAAAATAACACTGATTTTTAATATCAGAGTATGGCCTAACTCTTGGCATTTTTGGTCTACTTATAAGATGTATGCTTTTATAAATTTCCATCAAATGTTACGATAAAGAACAGCAATGGAAGAGCTGTTCCTTTGATATATTGCTTCATTAGTATTTATGAGAATGTTGTCTCATGTACAGCCACCAAGTATCTTTTACGATTGTATAAAGGATAGTAATTAGCTGATCAAGTGTCTTACCAACAAAATAAAAAAAGTAAAAAAAAAACGCTATAAGGTTGGATTTAAAAAACAATTAGTTAAAATTTTAATTTAATATAGTTTTTACAAAACATAGTCAATAAAACCAATTAATATTACAAGTGTTGTTTTACAGTTTGTTGTTGATGAAGATGAGTCAAAGGAATGGAAGGTGTATGACGCTGGTCCCCGGTCAGTTAAATGTCCGTTAATTTGTTTTCCTCCTGCCAGTGGTACAGCTGATGTGTTCTTTAGACAGATATTGGCTCTCACTGCTGTAGGGTATAGAGTTATTTCTGTAAGTACAGCTGATGTGTTCTTTAGACAGATATTGGCTCTCACTGCTGTAGGGTATAGAGTTATTTCTGTAAGTACAGCTGATGTGTTCTTTAGACAGATATTGGCTCTCACTGCTGTAGGGTATAGAGTTATTTCTGTAAGTAAAGCTGATGTGTTCTTTAGACAGATATTGGCTCTCACTGCTGTAGGGTATAGAGTTATTTCTGTAAGTACAGCTGATGTGTTCTTTAGACAGATATTGTCTCTCACTGCTGTAGGGTACAGAGTTATTGCTGTAAGTACAGCTGATGTGTTCTTCAGACAGATAATGGCTCTCACTGCTGTAGGGTATAGAGTTATTTCTGTTAGTACAGCTGATGTGTTCTTTAGACAGATATTGGCTCTCACTGCTGTAGGGTATAGAGTTAATTCTGTAAGTACAGCTGATGTGTTCTTTAGACAGATATTGGCTCTCACTGCTGTAGGGTATAGAGTTATTTCTGTAAGTAAAGCTGATGTGTTCTTTAGACAGATATTGGCTCTCACTGCTGTAGGGTATAGAGTTATTTCTGTAAGTACAGCTGATGTGTTCTTTAGACAGATATTGGCTCTCACTGCTGTAGGGTACAGAGTTATTTCTGTGAGTACAGCTGATGTGTTCTTCAGACAGATAATGGCTCTCACTGCTGTAGGGTATAGAGTTATTTCTGTTAGTACAGCTGATGTGTTCTTTAGACAGATATTGGCTCTCACTGCTGTAGGGTATAGAGTTATTTCTGTAAGTACAGCTGATGTGTTCTTTAGACAGATATTGGCTCTCACTGCTGTAGGGTATAGATTTATTTCTGTAACTACAGCTGATGTGTTCTTTAGACAGATATTGGCTCTCACTGCTGTAGGGTATAGAGTTATTTCTGTAAGTACAGCTGATGTGTTCTTTAGACAGATATTGGCTCTCACTGCTGTAGGGTATAGAGTTATTTCTGTAAGTACAGCTGATGTGTTCTTTAGACAGATATTGGCTCTCACTGCTGTAGGGTATAGAGTTATTTCTGTAAGTACAGCTGATGTGTTCTTTAGACAGATATTGGCTCTCACTGCTGTAGGGTATAGATTTATTTCTGTAAGTAAAGCTGATGTGTTCTTTAGACAGATATTGGCTCTCAGTGCTGTAGGGTATAGAGTTATTTCTGTAAGTACAGCTGATGTGTTCTTTAAACAGATATTGGCTATCACTGCTGTAGGGTATAGAGTTATTTCTGTAAGTAAATTTTTCTGGTATTTAAAAAAAATTATTTTACTTAGGGTTAGATATTCTTGGGGAAAATACTACAGCATGGAAACAGATTTGAACTAGGAACACTGGAATAATTTATGCTTTATAAGGTCTTGTCAAACATGTCAAATAACACAATATTGTATGCTAGTACATTTTATTGTCTAATTCTGAAAGCCAAAAATAATGCCTGAATGGGTTGTATATTTATTTCAAAAAAACATTGTATATACATGTATGTACTAGCATAGCAAATAACAATTGACCATAACCTAACTTTTTGCATACATTAGTATGACAAACATTGCATGATCATAGACTGTCTTTATGCCATTCAGTAAATAGTGCACAGTTTATGAACTCTATTTGAAATAGTCATTTGTAGGCTTTATTTAGAGCAAATTTGTGATAATTTACATTACAGAGACAGATTTTTTTTTGGGGGGGGGGGGGGGTGGGGTCATGGGAGCCTGGCCCCCTTATCGAGCTACATATATAGTTAATGCATAGACTTTTTACATGTCCCACTCCAAATTTTGTCTAGTATGGGGTGGGACAATGCATATGAGTTTGAACCGAAAGATTGGTCAATGTTTACCAAAAACATATCTCCCAGATTTGTCACTTATGTTCACAGCTATAACAAGATATCTTAGTCATTAATTATGCCTCAACTCTTAAGTGGGGGCTATATATTTTGAACTTCTTGTTCATCCATCTTTATCAAATTTTTTGTAAAGAGATGTCATTATTGTGTTTGTCACATGCCAGTTCATTACTGATTTAACTTTTGGGCTACAGGTGGGACAGTGTGGATGTTTGTCACTTATAACTTTTCTCTTACAGGTTGAATATCCAACATATTGGAAAATTGTTGAATTCTGTGAAGGATTTAGAAGACTAATAGACCATTTACAATTAGATAAAGTATGTATTTTACAAAATAGACTATTTACATATATATGAATTATATGAGATATAGGACATCCTTCAATAAGACTGTAGCTGAACCAGACAAAAAAATCAAAAGACATCAGATCTAGAGGTCAACTTTCTTTCTTCAACAACAGACAGTTGACTATACAGTATGTCAAACTCTAAATCGTCTAGAGTGTGTAACTAAATTTAATAGAGACTATCTAAGATTTATTATTAGTACTATTAACCTAAGTAATCTATAGCCAAATACAGCAACATTGTCTTGTTATAAATCTGAATTGACTCTTAAATTACATTTAATACCAGGTACTCTCTGTCAAGAAGTACTGGTTTGCTGCAATTCAGAGCTACCTTAAGTGAATAATCAATATTTTAATCCTTTTATAAATTTCATATCTAGCTTCATTTAAGCAGCCATTGTGACACCCTAGAAATAGCATGAGTCACATTCATCAGTTATTTAAGAGTCAATTCACGTTTCAGGAAGTTACTTATTAACAAGAGCTGTGTATGATGAATATGTACATTTTGTATTATCAACTGATAATTTTATTTGAAAGTATCCCCTTGAATGATCTCAATCATGCTTTAAGCAGAAAGTCCTTAGGAAACACCTGAACAAAGAATATTGATTAATTTACATTAGACAACAATACACTATATACTTTGCATTAAATGGGTACACAAAAACAGACCTTAAATGTCTGCTTTATTTTTTTAAACAATAAGTTGAAGACAGCAAGACTTTTATTCAATAATTAACGAGGCCATTGATTAAAACATTATCAATGATCAAGCTGTCTCAGAAGAGATACATCATTTTCCTGTCAGATACATACTAAATTGAAATAGTGGAATTCATACATGTAATTCTTGAATATCCAATTATGAAATTTGAAAAATTTAGTGAACTTTTAATGAAATTGTAGTGACATTTGAACATTAAACCATATAAAACAATATTAAACATGTATTTCATGGAAGATTTTTTAGAATTCATACAATCAAATACTTAGAAAAAGTTTAAATTTTAAAAACTTTACAAGTGCATGCATTAAAATAGTTGGAAATATGTATTTTTTTCTCATTGTAGGTACATTTATTTGGGGCATCATTAGGGGGATTTTTAGCACAGAAGTTTGCTGAATATACATACAGATCACCTAGAGTAGCATCACTTATATTATGCAATTCATTTTACGACACAACAATATTTAACCAAACTAATTCTGCGCCAACGTAAGTATACATTCTCAATTAGACGATTAAATTCAGTTACTTATCTTTCTGAAACTCACAGGTATTAGTAAGGATACTTTAGAGCTTGTTTGATTGTGATGCTGCTGTATAATTGTTTGTCGTGACTTTTTTCTCACTTGTTTTGTTTACCATAAATCAAATATGTATTATTTGTGATGCCTTTCTCAGAAAATGTAACTCTTACTCAAGTTAGTTTTGAGCACCCCTCGATTACTGCGAAGGTACAGTGGAATCCATGTACATTCCCTAACAGGATTAATGGATTTGTGTAACTAACTTATATACAACCCACCACCAGGACAATCCCCAACCCAACACAGAGGGTGTGTTAGGAGACACAGGGAAGTCTGTTATTATGGTGGAGGAAGTTGAAGTACTCGGAGAGAACCACCAGGTTTCTCGGCGGGAACAGACAAACCGAAGAGATTTCTATAGATTGATCTCCAGGTCAAAGTCGGGGGCCACTTTGACCAACCGAGGCCCCCAAAGTACCCATTCTAGTTTAATCTTTGGTCTAGGTACCAGAGATGTGTGTGGGAGGGTGAAAATCACCCTACTAATGTACTGAAATTTCCAGCGCCCAGAGTCAGGATCAAACCCCGGACCTTCAGCACTGTAGCCATCAGTTTTAACCACTAGGCCACGAACCCACACAATTATGATGTCACAAATAAAGTTGACCATACTTTACGGTGTCTGACAGAAAGAAGCCCTTTTTTGCAGATTATAGAAAAAGTTCTTTATACTTTGCCAGTTTATCATCTACAAACCTTAGATCGACATATTCCACAACAGTATCTTGTGTTATACAATATTTTTCTCCTCTTGATACTGGTTGAATTTGAGATATTTTGAAATGCTTGGCAAACCATATGTTTTAAAAATTTAGAATTGAACTATTTCAAGCTGATGATTATCATAGCTAATTCCCTAAAGTTGTAGTGTATATATTTGTCAGATATTTGTAACATTATAACAGACGGAGGTTTAGAGCTATTTCTAATGCTTGTAGTTTAAAGGTTTGGTTGGCTTGCTTGCTTTGTTTGTACAAATGTTTGTTCAAGCATTGTAATTAAGATTGACATCTGCAATCAATAGATAGGCAGGGCTTCAGCTTGTATACATTATACTCTGCATTATACTTAACATTCAATAACATTTAAGTATAACGTATACAAGCTGAAGCCCCGCCTTTCTATTGATTGCAGATGTCAATCTTGATTACAATGCTTGAGCAAACATTTATACAAACAAAGCAAGCAAGTTAACCAACCCTTTAGATTACAAGCATCAGGAAAAGAGCTCTTAAAGAAAAAAAAGAAAGTAAAAGAAATAGCTATTATCAATTTAAATAAAGATAGGCAGGTATTTTGTTTGATTGATCTTTATAACATACAATTAACAAAGTGCATATATAACTAATCAGCAAAATAATGAATTAAATTAATGATTGTCCTTAACATGCATAAAATATTTGCCACTGAACATTAAGCAAACATCAATTAATCAATGAATCTACAGTAACATATATTCTGGCAACTAAGTAATATTAACAAACCGTAATATATTTTTTGATGCCCCCGCCGTAGCCGTGGGGGCATTAAGTTTTACCCTTGTCTGTCTATGTACGTACGTCCATCCGTCAGTACGTCCCAAAATTGGTTTCCGTTCTCTAACTTGAGTTTGCCTCAACCAAATGTTATTTAACTTATACACAATGCTTATTACCACAAAACACAGATCAAGTATGAATATTGGTGGCGTCACTTTAACTGTTCTAGAGTTATGCCCTTTAAAAATGGAAAAATTGCAAAATGTTTAGTTTCCGTTCTCTAACTTAAGTTTGCCTCAACCAAATGTTATGAAACTTATACTCAATGCTTATTACCACAAAACACAGATCAAGGGTGAATTTTGGTGGCGTCACTTTAACCGTTCTAGAGTTATGCCCCTTTATAAATGGAAAAATTGCAAAGTTTTCATTTTCTTCTAAATATCAAGTAATTTTTAAAATTGGAGTTATCTTCCTTTGTCCATGATTATAGTTGAATCAACTACAATCAATGCTTTATACAATGCAATGTTTAATTTTGACTTTCACTGATAAAACACAGATCATGTTGAATTTGGGTAGTGTCAGTTTAACCATTATTGAGTTATGCCCCTTTATAAATCAAAAGAATGCAACATGTTTAGTTTCCATTCTGTAACTTAAGTTTGCCCTAACCAAACATTATGAAACCTATACACAATATTCATTACCACAAAACTAAGATCAAGTACAAATTTTTTGTTTCCGTTTTGAACTTTAGTTTGCCTCAACCAAATGTTATGAAACTTATACACAATGCTTATTACCACAAAACACAGATCAAGTATGAATTTTGGTGGCGTCACTTTAACTGTTCTAGAGTAATGCCCCTTTAAAAATGGAAAAATTGCTAAATTTTTAGTTTCAGTTCTCTAACTTAAGTTTGCCTCAACCAAATGTTATGAAACTTATACACAATGCTTATTACCACAAAACACAGATCAAGTTTGAATTTTGGTGGCATCACTTTAACCGTTCTAGAGTTATGCCCCTTTATAAATGGAAAAATTGCAAAATTTTTAGTTTCCATTCTCTAACTTAAGTTTGCAACAACCAAATGTTATGAAACTTATACACAATGCTTATTACCACAAAACACAGATCAAGTTTGAATTTTGGTGGCGTCACTCTAACTGTTCTAGAGTTATGCCCCTTTATAAATGGAAAAATTGCAAAATTTTCATTTTCTTCTAAATATCAAGTAATTTTTAAAATTGGAGTTATCTTCCTTTGTCCATGATTATAGTTGAATCAACTACAATCAATGCTTTATACAATGCAATGTTTAATTTTGACTTTCACTGATAAAACACAGATCATGTTGAATTTGGGTAGTGTCACTTTAACCATTATTGAGTTATGCCCCTTTATAAATCAAAAGAATGCAACATGTTTAGTTTCCATTCTGTAACTTAAGTTTGCCCTAACCAAACGTTATGAAACCTATACACAATATTCATTACCACAAAACTAAGATCAAGTACAAATTTTTTGTTTCCGTTTTGAACTTTAGTTTGCCTCAACCAAATGTTATCAAACTTATACACAATGCTTATTACTACATAATACAGATTAAGTACGAAATTTGGTGGCAACACTTTTACCATTCTTGAGTTATGTCCGTTTATAAACATAAAAATTGCTGAGTTTTTCCACATTTAGTTTGTCTCAACCAAATGTTATAAAACTTATACACAACCGTTCTAGAGTTACGCGTGTTTACAAATAGAAAAATTGCTGAATTTTTAGTTTCTGTTCTCTACTTAAGTTAGCCTCAACCAAATGTTATGAGACTTACACACAATGCTTATTACCACAAAACTCAGATCAAGTTCAAATTTGGGTAGCGTCACTTTTACCATTCTTCAGTTATGTCCCTTTATAACTATATGATATGCAAGCGGGGGCATCATCTGTGTCCACATGTGGACACTATCCACATTTATTTCAATTTTGTTAATTGGTTAGTTAATGTTATTACTGCAATGAGATCTATTTATCATCAGCCAGTGTAAACTATTTTTTCGGGAATCTACTTAATAAAAAGAGGTAGATACAAAATAATTTGTATACTTATCATTTCATATATTAAATGTTGTCATAAACTGTACGTTTTGAATTGAAGATTTTGGATGATGCCATCATTAGTACTTAAGAAAATGGTGATGGGAAACTTTGATAAGGGACCAGTAGATCCAAGTATCTGTGATTCAATAGATTTTTTAGTAGAAAAGGTAATTATGTTTATATCTAGATTGGAGTATAAATTCTATATATAAGTTATATCATAGATAATTTATATGTAGGAGTGTGTACATTGAGCTGTACCCTTTCATTTATTTCATGTCCTCAAATTTGTTGTAACCCAGCTAGCTAGCTTTCAGTAGGAAATCTACTCAGTGCATTGGTTGATATAATGGTGGAGGGTTGTTTCTATCAGTTACTGTATTGGTTGATATAATGGTGGAGGGTTGTTTCTACCAGTTACTGTATTGGTTGATATAATGGTGGAGGGTTGTTTCTATCAGTTACTGTATTGGTTGATGTAATGGAGGAGGGTTGTTTCTATCAGTTACTGTATTGGTTGATATGATGGTGGAGGGTTGTTTCTATCAGTTACTGTATTGGTTGATGTAATGGTGGAGGGTTGTTTCTGTCAGTTACTGTATTGGTTGATATAATGGTGAAGGGTTGTTTCTATCAGTTACTGTATTGGTTGATATAATGGTGAAGGGTTGTTTCTATCAGTTACTGTATTGGTTGATATAATGGTGGAGGGTTGTTTCTATCAGTTACTGTATTGGTTGATGTAATGGTGGAGGGTTGTTTCTATCAGTTACTGTATTGGTTGATATAATGGTGGAGGGTTGTTTGTATCAGTTACTGAATTAGTTGATAAAATGGTGGAGGGTTGTTTGTATCAGTTACTGTTTTGGTTGATGTAATGGTGGTGGGTTGTTTCTATCAGTTACTGTATTGGTTGATATGATGGTGGAGGGTTGTTTCTTTCAGTTACTGTATTGGTTGATGTAATGGTGGAGGGTTGTTTCTATCAGTTACTGTATTGGTTGATGTAATGGTGGAGGGTTGTTTCTATCAGTTACTGTTTTGGTTGATGTAATGGTGGAGGGTTGTTTCTATCAGTTACTGTATTGGTTGATGTAATGGTGGAGGATTGTTTCTATCAGTTACTGTATTGGTTGATATAATGGTGGAGGGTTGTTTCTATCAGTTACTGTTTTGGTTGATGTAATGGTGGAGGGTTGTTTCTATCAGTTACTGTATTGGTTGATATAATGGTGGAGGGTTGTTTCTATCAGTTACTGTATTGGTTGATATAATGGTGGAGGGTTGTTTCTATCAGTTACTGTATTGGTTGATGTAATGGTGGAGGGTTGTTTCTATCAGTTACTGTATTGGTTGATATAATGGTGGTGGGTTGTTTCTATCAGTTACTGTATTGGTTGATATAATGGTGGAGGGTTGTTTCTATCAGTTACTGTAAACATCTGGTGCTATTTGTTCAAGAATCATTGTCTCAAAATTTCTGATCATTGCAATTAATATTACAAAAAAAATAAAGTTTAATTTTTGTTATCATAAATGTATGTGGTGGAGTTTGTTTATTTGAAAGGCAATACTTTGTTGTATAATTTCAGTTGGATGGATTAACTCAAGCTGAGCTAGCATCAAGACTTACACTAAATTGTATGAATTGTTATGTAGAACCACAAAAAATTCAACAGATACCTATTACTATTTTGGATGTGAGTATATAATTATTTCCTATCATTATGATAATTATCGGATGATCTTAATGGTAAATTTATATCAGGTAGCTACATTCAGGCTAATTGCATTTCTGCTTGCAATACAGAAATTTGATCTTGAATGCTTAAAACTTTTAAGAGCTACTAAATGCCTTATTTGAATTGCACACAGATGTTTTGATAAGAAAAAATGATTATCAGGTAGGCAAATACTTTAAGTCCCATTTTGAGCAGATATGAAAATAAGATTACGGTAGAAGCAGTAATACAATTTAGATATTTTCAAATCTAAATATATTATTTTAAGGTTTTAGAAAAAGGTGAGAAAAAAAAAACCATGATCAAAATTGAATGAAAAAATAAATAGAGATATTTGAGTGAAAAAGTCAAGAATTTTACAGCTCTTTTCATAATGCTAGCAAGACAAAGGTTTGTTTGGCTTGCTTGCTTTGTTTGTATCAATGTTTGCTCAAGCATTGTAATTAAGATTGACATCTGCAAACAATATAAGTAGGCGGAGTTAAATCTGTGTAAAGGTAAATTTGATTATTTGATAATGTCCAATCAAATTTAAATATAATGTATACAAGTTTAAATCCTCCTTTTTTGTGTTGTTTTCAGGTGTCAATCTTAATTACAATGCTTGAGCAAACATTGTAACAAACAAAGCAAGCAAGTCAAACAAACCTTTGCCTTGCTAGCATTATGAAAAGAGCTGTAAGTCTTTACCAATCTGAAGACTTTTTGGAATCATTGTTATAATATTTCATATATAGAGCTCGTTCTTTATGACTAAGTAACTATAAGTAAGACTATATGCATCATGCTGAATGTAGTTTCAGTATAAAAAGACAAATGATTTACATGCTATGTATTATAGCCATGCATTTTGTTTCTTTTTCCTTAAACAGGAAATTTTGCATCAGTTGTGTTTGCCTTGTTTTTGTTTTTACTATTTTTATATGGGAAACAGAAGTTGTGCAACTTTATTTCCATTATTTTTATAATTTAAAAGTTAAATAGAAAGCATTTTCATATATATTTAAATGTGTTTATGTTTGGAAAACATTGCATATATATATATGACCATTAAGCAGGCCATCAACAGCCAAATGTATTTATTTTGATTTGATGTTTTAAATTCCTTTATTAGTCAAAGAAATTGAGTGTCATATAATTATCATTGTTTTATTATAGGTATTTGATGATTGTGCTTTATCTCATTCTGTGAGAGAGGAACTATATAAATGTTATCCTGAAGCTAAACGTGCACATTTAAAATCAGGAGGTAACTTTCCATATCTCAGTAGATGTGATGAAGTTGATATTTTCATTAAGGTAACTAATTATATTTTATAGCACATATTTCTATAATAGCAGTAATAAACAGTTTAAACATAAATACTGATGGTATAAAATTTGTTTTGGTTTGATATATGAGCATTGTTTTCTCATGGAGATCCAACATTAAATGACAATATCTGTGTTGTTAGAAGTTTGGGATTAAAGAGTGTAAAAGAAAAAACAATGGATATGGGGTATCCATCCATGACACAAAATCGGTACATGCACAGCAGAAAACACACAAAAAACAAAGGAACATCGCTTTTATTGCTGATCTTTATCTCAAAGTCAACAGTATGGTGGATAAGATTTTAAAATGAAAATCCATATTATTTAGTGACATCCTATTTAAAAAGAATAAAACTTATGAGGATATTGACCATTTCATATATAAAAATGGCAAAATGTTGCTTGTTTTACTTTGACATGTATTTTGAAGTCTATAATTTATTATGGCTAGAGATACCATTCTCTATTAATCATTAGAATGTTAAATTCCAGTGAGGAAATTTATTTAAGACAACAAAATGCTCCACTTATTGAGTCTTCTACAAAGGTTATTTTTACTTGATGTAGTTTTAGCTCTTATTTTTTATGCTCTTAGCCCTATCTATATATAACTAAATGAGAGCACTGTTTTCTTTTTCTAGGTCTGCATATTTATGATCTCAATGGTCAAGTGGTTGCCATTTTGATAGTCTGTAAGAAGTCCTAATACTGTTACCGATAACATAAACACATTGCTTTATTAAATGGTTTCATTGACAGATTGGCAAAGAGAATCCTATGAACCAACTTTCCCGATTGTAAACAATTGGTTTTAAAAATCTACTTCCGTTGTAATTCAGATTTATTTCAGAGTTATTTTCTCCAAGTTTTATTTTTATCATCAATTTCCAAGGAAGAAGTAAAAAACATTGTAATCATTTTCTCATTGTTACAGAAGAGGCTTTAAAGGGAAACTTCGCAAAAAAATGAAAAACTGATATTATGTCCATTCTGTATAAAAAAGCTCAAATTCATAAATATTAAAATTTTATTCTGCTAGATTTAAATTTAGAGTATCAATTCTCTGCGTGCGGCCATTTTGACATCTTCTCGGTTTAGAAACCACGTTATATCTATAAACCACAAAGCACCAAAACCAGCAGTAACCTAATGTAGTCGTAATTGCGTGTTGATATCTTGTCAATCGTACGGTTGTTTTATCCGACTAACTAACTTGATACGGAAAATGTAATAATTTGTTAAATAACTATGGTCTGTCGGTTTTTAAACTGTTTATATGGGAATTAGTTAAAAAGTCAAAGTTCAAAGTCATAAATAAGTGTTCCGTGTAAAATTGTTTTCGAAAATCTAATTTGTTCATAATTCTTTTATGTAATAAACTTATTTAAATAAATTTGGACCTTCCCTTATCTGATCACCAGCATGGCTAAAGGTATTACTCCCAAAGGTATTGTGAGGTGACACGTTCAGGTATTCAAGCGATTTCCTGTCGGGCTTAAAAACTCTTATTACACAATTACATAAAGCAAGTTCATGCATCGTCTCACTTCTGAGAGTATTGATCAGTGTACACGGCCGATAACTTGTAACTTTCCATTTTGAAACTATCAGGTGTATAATATACATCTCTGTCTTGCGTGCCGATAGTGATATACTAGTCATTACCAGAGACATCTCTGTCATTACTAAACTCGTACACTTGTTTATAGATAACATTTCTGGTGTAAAGAATACTATTTATGAAAATCTAAATAATTCCAAAAAAAGATTTGATAAAATAAAAATCTATTTACAAATTTGTTTCCAAGGGTAAATTGGGGAAAATGTAAGTATATACTCGTTGCCAATAATGATGGACATTTTGAAACATACAAGAAATATTGATTTAACAAAAATGTACGCACTTGTCGATCATTGGTTTATACGCCTGGATAGAAAGTTACGGAACTATAGATAGTCGCAATTTTAAATATATACATGTATATTGAATATAAGAAAGAAACATCGAGAACAATTTGATTTAAATACAGGTTGATATCTAACTTGCTTTGGTTCATCGAAGTTATGGACATAGTAAAATCACAGATTTATATTTCAATTAGATTGTTCTCGAACAGTTGAAGTTATGGACATAGTAAAATCACAGATTTATATTTCATTTAGATTGTTCTCGAACAGTTGAAGAAATTCATCATCATCACTATTGTTGGGTATAATCATGGAAGTAATATTTAATATTACTTCCATTGAATGTATAAGGTGAACATGGTTCTGAAAGTACCTTATGTCAATTTTCCTGTTCCGACATGCATGTAATATATGCCACTGGACGTACACTAATGATCCCAAAAAGTCTATTTGAAGAAATAAAGAAACTTCACTTTGGATAGACTGATAGTAGTTGTACAAAAATAAATTAACGAATACCGTATTAACGTCTGACCAGCAAGAGGGTTGATTAATTTATTAAGTTAGATTGTGGGTGAATAAACCATTCCCAATATTGCACTTAGTATGCATAAAATATTAAATAAGAACATAGATATAATAGCCAGCTATTATATCTATGATAAGAGTAACATGAGAAAAAATATAAATACGAAAAGTCGCATATCTGGTAAAAAAAGTCTAACCATCTATAGGATTTCACGTACAATTGTTATTCTTAATCGAAATAACGGACAGTCATTTTCATGAATGACGGTACGCTACGATAAAAAGGGGTGCCGCTTGTTATTCATCATCAATCTATTTTTTCAAGTTTATACTTTCCTGTTATTCTTATCAGTTAACGCAGAGACATGTCACTATGCATCTCTAGTTAACGACAATCAACTATATAAATATCTGAATCTGATGTGAAATACCGTTCATCTCTTTCTTTCTTTTTTCTTTTTTGGGGGGGATTTGGGCAGGGACATAAACATTGTTAGATGTACTTAGGGTTCCCAGGTTGTTGTTTTTTTTTGGGGGGGGGGGGGAGGGGGCGTGTTGGAGGTCAAATCTATCGAAAGTTACAAAATAAGAGCGTTTTATTTATGAATTTACAAGAAGAATTCTGTTCTTGGACGTACTTTTCTCTTTTTTTTTAGTTCAGTGATTTAAATTGAGAAAAAAATCTAGTCAGAATTTAAATCATTTCGGCAATCCCCCATCTAAGACTCCTCTAAAATCATGAATGGCAATGCTTCACAATCATCAGAATTTTCTTTGCATTGGTACATTGTGTATCGGTAGTGATTAACCATGACATTTCCGGGCATAACAGAGCTTCTTGTATATTACCTGTATGTGGTTAGGTGTCGTCCTATGAGGTCTTGCGTATACAGGTTCACATTTATAATGGTTTGTGATATAACAAGGTTTTATGACATTCACACTTCTGCATGTTCTGTATACCACATTCTTATCTTATTTTCAGACCGAAAGAGGAAATGAATAATTTCCAGGAAAAATATTGAGTATCAAAGTATCAAATTAATTTCGGGATTTTTTTCTTTCTTGGTATTAAATAACAGAAATTTAAAGAATAAACTGCTTTTCCGCTTTAGGGGTATTCTTGTCAGTTAAAACAGACATATAATTATATATGTGTATATATGTCTCTGGTATAGACATGGTCTGTGAATGAATTATAAGTCTTGCAAAGGTACAAGATATAAAGCACATTGAAAATTGATTTCGCCAGTCTGTCTCCATTCAAAAAAAAGGAAGGTTGACGTTAGATTGATTCTGTCATTTTTTTTTAAACATCGTTGGTCAAATAGCTAAAGTATTATACGTTGTGAGACTTAGAATATTTCAATAAGGACATTCCTGATTAGGTATCCTTTTTTTTATGTTTTTCACACCTGAAAAGAATATTTTTTCGTAATTATTTGATTCCATTCCATTCCAAGAATTTCCTGTCAAATTTTTAAACATCTTTTTTCAAATAGCTGAAGTATTTATACGTTGTGACAGAGACAGATTTAAAATATTTTGATGAGAACATTAATTCATGAATATGTAAATAAAGATCGCTTTGGACAGACCAAATTATATAATTACAATTGGTAATTATCTATTTTAAATAATACATTTAATAAAGGTTACCGATTCTAATTTGAAATAGTACAATTTTTAGTTCATACACTCGTGTTTAGAAGGCCATTATTATTTATAAATCTATTAAATTAAATCAATTCAGTATTTCATGGTTACAAAAACAGTGACAGCGGTCATAATTCATTTTAAACTGAGCTTACGCAAAATATAAAAATATACCACGACTATCCATGTAATTGTGCAACCTTATTACTCCCCCAAAATAATTATATTTCTTTTTTATATTTTCTGAGTCTAAAACTATCACTCCCGTTTATCATTCATACAAAATGTTGTTCACACCTGGAACAGTGAACCGTGACGGCTAAGATTCACTGAGTGAAGATCAAAAGATTAGAATTACAGAATGCTAATATTTTAATTACCTTGAGTTTAACCACGCATTCAACATTCAACAGTCACAAAGTGTCACAGTACAATACACATTGTATTTACACAGTACTAGCTGGAAATGTTTGCTAGACTTAAGTAAAAGGTCAGAATACAGACATGCATTTTTAATACATTATCAATCATGTCAGTTATATATGTTTGTTCAAAATATTCGTCTGAAAAAATATCATAAAAATGTTCTATTGTATGATTTACTTTTATTACTATAATCATATCAGAAATCCTTAAAACGTAAATCCTACAATTTAATTTTACTGATCACTTTACTTTCTTAATTTTTAGTTGGTTAATAGCTACACCAAAAGTCGTCGATGCGCTTTAAATCGCGTTATTAGATGGTTAAGGAACAAGACTTAAATGAGATTAATTCCACTCCCGGCATGCAAAAAGACTTAAACTACGTCACAGAAGTCAGGAAGTTTGAATAAATAAAAATAATAATTCCCAATTTTCTTCTTTATCAGTTTTTATATCCAAATAAAACTTGGTGAATATGTTTTTTATGGTATTATGAACATAATAAGATGATAAGTAAAAAATCAGGAATTTTCCCTTTAATATTAATATATTTTTATCATCTTATCTAACTTTAAATAGATGACTTTCAAATTCATGCACTTTCCCGTAAATTTCCTATGTCACAATGTTATTATGTCACAGTTAGAACTGATTGTTCGATGACATCGTTAACGCCATTTGACCTCAGGTCAACTAGTGTAACTTATTAAAAAAAAAAACCAACTCAATATTGGTGTATTGGAACCAAAAGGAATATAGTCACATTTAATAAGAGATAGTTGATTTTGAAGTTAACAACTTGAAGAAAGATTAAGGTCTGGTGTAGTCCTAATTAGAGTGAAATGCAAGTAACATGTTTTTGGTTAAATCAAGAAGCTTACTTGGATTTAAACAAAAACTTAAAACTTAAAATTTATCTGGGTATTAGGTGTCTTTTTGTCTTTGTTATTGTTCCTCTTAGCAGTGTGTTTTAGGAAGAAGTTGAGCTGTGGTATATGTAAGCTCACTCACTCAGATTCTTTGATTAGTCGGAAGCCTTCCATCTAATATTTGACCATCATATTTTGTGGAGGGTGAGGGAGTATTTATTTTGTTCAGGAAAATTTAATTATGGTTAGTTCTTTTATATGTGTGAGTTTGAGGACAAATTACAACAGTTCAATAATTTTGTTTGTAAAAAGTCTGAAAATAATCATTATTTTGAATGAGTTTTCAGCAGGAAGAAGCTCCTTAAATAATTGTTCAGGCTTTCTTGTATCTTGTTATTTCATCGATTTATAAAAAGGGAGGCAGTTGGAATTTTCGAATAAGTTTTTGTTTATCCTTCCACATATTAATTTAGTCAGGAACCTCATAATTTTTTTTTTATATGCTTAAAAAGAAGTTGATGTTAATGGAAGATATTTGGTGATATGGTTAGGTTTATTCACACCTTGGATGGTCATTGATGAATTATCCTACTGCTTATTTTGATGCTATTTAGTTGGTACTTGCACTTTTACACATGAGTTATTGTTGATTGTTTATAATTATTTTTAATAGCAAAAGTTATTGCTATTGGGTTTCAAATATCTAAAAGACTTTAAAATTGGTATTTGCTGATTGGAACATATCAAAATTCGAATTTAAATTGTAGTATATGAAACCTAGCCGAGGTCATAATATATTTTAAGTTCAACAAAAATATTTTAGTACTACCTAACATCTTGTCAGTATTAGCTTTATTGAATTCATTGCTGTTTGTTTAACATACTATGACATAGAAAACCAAAATATCTAATAAATAAACATTTTGGTATACAATTTAAAAATCAAGCAAGAATAAGGGGAAGTAACTTTTGTCAATAAAAACAAATCATATACAGTGCAAATATACTTTCAATATATTATCAGTTTTATTATCTTCTGATTTGTTTAACTATGGTATAACATTCAAATAAATGTATCTGTGTCATCTTTAGACTTTAGTTATTATGGTTATTGTAATATAATGTTCATGATGATATAAACTATAATTTAAGTTCAATAATGAAATGTTAAAAATTCTCTTCCTTCAAAACTATTCGAAGCAGAAGTGAATAATGGCAAACATTTCTAACATGTCAGAGGAAATGATAAATAATTTTGAATAAGGTGTATGTTAAGTCTTTTCAATTTAATAGTGTACTCAGCTAATGGGTACCAAGAATGTCTTATCTACTAATCCTAAGCAAGAGACATATTTTGCATATATCTGAAATTCTGTTAGTTAAGATAGCAAAGAAAATAACTTTGCTTACAAAATCAACATTATGTTCAGGAGCAAATTTGGGACTTACATAAATGGGTTACCAAAAAAAAAGGGGGGGGGGGGGGGCTGCAAAAGCATGAATTTTCTTTCATAAATGGTGATTATGACCCTCAGCTAGTCCCCTGGTCTATTCCTGGTATTTGTAATCCATTTTTCTTGTTAATAAAAATATCACATTAATCCACATCACTTTGAAACGGCCCCACCCATTTCCCTCCCCCCTGTGTATGTGTATAGTGTGTATGTGTATATATGCTGTTGGAATCTAGACCAGTCTCAGATCAGATGCATGTCAATGTCTAACTCTGATCGGAATCCAGTCAGGAAACCTGTGAATCCAGATGGTTACTAGTGTAAAACAAAGACACGTTTGGGAAAAGAACCACAGTTTAATGCTTAAATTTCATATTAATAAAACACAAACAACAGTACAGTTTGAAAACAATACACAAATTAATTAATTAATAATCTGTGGTATTCCAAACTTCCCAAACATGTGTGGTGTAACCAGTAGAAGGTAGGTTAAATGGTTTATTATTTCCCCAGGGCAATTGCAAATTTGTTCATGACTTCCTGTCTGTGTGCAAAAGAAGGATCCAAGTATGATTTGTATGCATTAGATTTCCAATCACCCTGTAATTGTATGAGATCAGCTGGAACCCCACATTCTAAGGCAAAGGAGGCCCCTCCTCTTCGAAAACTATGTCCCGAATATTTGCTGCTGTCATAACCCAACCTAGATAAGTTCTGTTTTAGCATCTTTACAAAGGCTGTATATGTAAGAGGGGTAACCTTGCCTCGTACTAAATACAGGAAGACAGGTGAGGGGGCTGACTCTGCTGGCACCTGTTTAAAATTTAAAAGAAGCGCCTTAGAGGGACATAAATGAGAATTCTTCACTCTAGGAAGGGGAATTTCTAATATACGCTCTGAAAATTGAATTGTTTTGGTTTTGCGTACTTTTAAACAGACACCATCTGAGTGAAAATGGATTTCCTCACGAGTAAAATGTCGCAAAGGATCAAAAGCTGAAATTGAAGGGGCAAACAAATTTGACTTCCTTAAAAAGGAGAAAAAAGCCACTAAGCAGGCTGCCCAAAAACACAAGTCCTTACTACTGCTGACTGACAGTAAAGTAAATATCTCATTCAAAATTTTTGGTGCAATAGGCAATTTTCTATGTATGGCAGCACCTAACACACGTTTAGCACCCTTGAGTACTGACTCCATAAAAAAGGAATCTATCGGAGATGCAACTCCTGATTCTAAATGTAGCAACCGCACAATTGACAAATAATTTGTTATGGAATTAAATTGTAACCTTGAAGATAAATAGGCTACATATCTGGCTAAATTCATAGGACTTAATGGAACAAGGGTAATATTTAATCTTCTACAAAATTCTGAGTATGACTTGAAATAGTTTAAATATGTCTTTTTGGTAGATTCAGCATAAGTATGACATCTAATGTTAGCAACAATACTATTCAGTGATCTCACCTCCCTCGATACCAGTGAGCCTAAATAAATGAAAACAAAGGGCATAACTAGACATGTGCCTAACAAGATCCTGTAAATACAGTGGCGGTCGAACATAATCACGCAAAAATTGTTCACAGAAAGGTAGATCATGCATCCGTGAAATACAGTCTGCTAGTATATTCGTTTTGCCTGGAACATGCTTAGCTATCAAGTGAAAATTATATGTTGCTGATAACCAAAAGAGCTCACGCAAAAAGGACATAAAAATAGCATTTTTTGATGTACCTTTATTAATGCAACTTACAGTTACTGCATTATCGCAATGAACTATAATACGCTGACCACGCCAATATGGGGCCCATCGCTTTACTGCTAACGCCACTGAGAAAGCCTCTAATTCATTTATGTGAAGTTTCAAAGCAAAGGGGTGATCTTCTGCCCAATTTACATAAAACTGGGACTATTACACTAGTATAATATAATTGTCCCAGGTTTAAATGAGAAGTTCAGAACTGAATTATTTGTTAGATTTAATAACTTAAGATGATAGGATAAATTTTATCTTAATTGGAAAGAATATCTCATCTACATCCAATATTGTTTAGAAAAAAATAGCATAATATATTGTTTTCATACACCAACATACAACACGGGTTGGGGGAAATTAAACTTTTGAATATGGGTTATTGATGCTTTCAGTGAACTGTTTCAGTTAAATCTACAAAGCACAAATTTTTCTCCTTTCAGATTCATCTCCAACCATTTGACAACAAAAAATACAGTGCCAAAGAATATGTAAAGGCTGAAGAGGATTAATTTGTACCTTAACTGTTGTTATTTTTACAGGTTGAAAGTTACTACATGTATCATGTATTTTATTCATTCAACTTATTGTAACCAATTATTCTCGTTTCTTGCCAAGAAGGGATGTAAGGCCACATAGATTAAAATCTTTTCTTATTATTTTTCTTATGTTTCATATTTTATTGTACATTTTAAAATATTTCTTCCAAACCAAGAAATAAAAAAAAAAAAATGCCCTACAAATATTTTTGTTGAGAGAGGAGGAGAATAAAAAGGTTGATTTCCCATCCATTAAGTAGTGTGGCCAAACAAGATCTCCACTAACAGATACAGGTATTGCATTGCTTAGAGTTACTCCTAATTTTCATTTATAATGTCATATGTCTTTTTTCCAAATTGGATGGAAGTTTGAAAAACTTGATTTAAGAGATAAATGTGTTTAAAAACTCCCATCAAGAAACTAATATAGACCACTTTCGAGTTTGTTGCATTTCTGTCAAAAAATTTGGTTTTAGTGTTCAAACATCATTCGTGCATTTAGGGGCATCGTCATTTCCTTCCCATGTTGAGCCAGCGGTTGAAAAAATATGATGCTATATTGCACGAATTATTCAGCAAATTAAATTCTTATAATTGAAAATCAGCACTGCTGTCATTAGGGAATTAATTGTGATTAAGTACCTACGGAACAAACATTATTTCTAGTTTATCTTGCATAATGAAGATCACGAAGACGCTTGATGAACTTTAATAGTGCAGGGATACAGGCGATCCCCTCTATCTGGTAAATGACATCATAATGGCGTGCATTATTGACGAACTTTTCCGGTGAAAGACATAACTCGAAAGTGGTCTATTAACTCCAAGTGCAGAAGTTATTTTATTTTCAAAATACAAAACATAAGGTCTTGCAAACAGCTGCCTTGCATATTATGTTTGAATTTCTTTTGGAACTTGAGTGCAAAAGAAAGTTGAACATTGAAAATTTGGATTGGAATTATCACCAAAATAAACTACCATTTGCAATTTTTAATTAATTTTGCCTTTCCTATGGACAAAATTAATACAACCCCAAAGACTTGTACACAAGAAAAGTTTATGCATATATACAATTGCCTTAATCTTTCTTTTCCCATGAGGCATAAATAATTGATATACATAAATGTATATTTATGTTAGAAAGAAAAATCATTCTTCCTAAAAGGTGTAGGATTTTTTAACTTATTTTTTCATAGCAGTCTAAGAAGGGACCAAATCAATCAAATTTTATTGGGATTTTGTACACCAAAAAATAGAAATAGAGTTGTCTCCCTGTACATGTAAACTGTGTTATGTGTATTGAAATAATGTGTTCTGTACAAACAGAGACTTAGTGACCTTAAATAACCATCTTTGTAAACCATTTTATAAGAGTCAACTTTTTGAATTCAGATATTTTAGTGTTCTTTTGGAAAGACATGTCTATTTTACAACCAAATCCATTCATGTGTTAATAAATGATTTTCTTGTGAGCCAGGTTAAATTTATTGAGAATATTACAGAAGAATTAAGGAAAAAAAATCATTTATTCAAACCTCAAATGCTCAAATTGACCCGAGGCAAATCTTAAGTGAAGACCGGTGAATTAAGATGTTTCAATTGAGAAGTTTTGTTTTCAAACAATTTTTTGTGAGTGCATTTTTACAAGACTCTGTGTATACTAGCTGACTGCCTTAGCATTGACATTCTAAAGTAATTTTTATGCTATTGCCAAAAGTATTTAAAGTTGCTTTCTTTTAATTAAATTTTTTTATGCATCGATTGCTCAGTCAATTTAGTATTTGCTATGTACTTTTATTATTGCAAATCTGTGTAACTAGTGAAAACAATGAAAAATTAATTTATTTTATGTATGCAGTTTCACAACATGTAGTATAATATTAGCAGCAAACATGTAAAAGCAAGGTTTAATCACTGCAATGTTTATCCTGCTGCAATTTTAGCATTAATAATGCATTACATTAGCTTATGAATTTTCAAGTTTAATTTTTGAATACATAAGATGAATGTAAAACAAATGATATAATATGGGTTTTAGAATAAGCTTCATTTGTGTAATCTGAAATTTTATTATTGTTTATGTATAAATGAAAAAAAAAATGCTGATCCAATTTTTAGCTTACCAGTTATTCAGACACCAAAGAACTATATAATATCAGTTTTAAACTAATAAATTTGCAGTGAGAATGCAAAAAAAATAAAATGGAAGATTTAAGTGTTGTTGTCAGCCAAAGGGTTCAAATTATTGTCAAATTACAACATATTGTACTATAGCATTCAAACAATGTAAAATCTTTAAATTCACAATATGAAATGTATACATGTATGTATGATCTAAACAATAAACACAGTGCAACCTAATAGCAAATTACAGTTATTTCTAGTATATAGAAACACTTGAATTGAGAGTTGCCTCCCCTATAACTGGTTGTTGACTTTGGCTGTTTTTAGTTTACATGAATCTAATTTTATTTTATTATTTTATGATATTAATATCTGTATATATATATAACAATAACCAATATAAAAAAATTATTTCTAATTCAGCAGAGAAATAAAGTACTGTATTCAATAAACCCTATGTTTACTATGTCTGGTGAAAATCTGTTTAGTATCATGTCTTAATAAATATATTTACAATACTTATATATTATTTATCAGTTAAATCATGTTACAAAGTATATTAATATAGTTTTTAAGATTTTATAGAAATATTGGTTTCATAGTACAAAACCATCTTGTTCCAAAAAGTCTGGTCATGCTTTCAGTTTAAGATGACAAAAAATAATTCAGAAGATACCAAGAATTAAGATTCAAGTTTTAAGACAGAAAACAACATAGCAAAAAAATATGAAAAAACAAACAAGACCTCTACAAAATACAACACAGAAACCTAAAGATTGAGCATAATAAAACCTAGATAAATGCATATAAACTTTGGAAGGGTAAAGTAGTACCTGTTAAGGAAAAGTAGAGATATGTGTATTAATTCATGACACAAAATCCCTATACATGCTCATCAAAAACTGAAGCAAAGGAACCAGGCTTTTGTTGCTTCATCTGAAAGTCATTGATAGGTCTTCAAACATGCAGCAAGAACTTGCACCTCACTGCTCCACTAGTGACACCAGTGACAAGCTGGATGCTGTGATAATATTCCATTCATTACAATTGCTGTTCTTTATGTCAAAGTCACAGTGAGGCCTTCAAACACAGAGCAAAAACTTGCACCTCACTGCTCCCCTAGTGACACCAGTGACAAGATGGATGCTGTGATCATAATCCATTCATTACAATTGCTGTTATTCATGTAAAAGTCACAGTAAGGCCTTCAAACACTGAGCAAAAACTTGCACCTCACTGCTCCCCTAGTGACACCAGTGACAAGATGGATGCTGTGATCATAATCCATTCATTACAATTGCTGTTATTCATGTAAAAGTCACTGCTTCACTAGTGACATCTGTGACAAGATGGATGCCATTTGATTAGGGACTTTCCGTTTTGAATTTTCCACGGAGTTCAGTATTTTTGTGATTTTACTTTTTTGTATATTTGTTTTCAGTCAAGTTTGAACTGATGGTTTTTCTAGGAGAAATTCAAAGTTCCAATTGAATGAACTCCACAAAGTACAAACATCATTGTATTTATTCAATGGGACGGTTCACCTTCTAAGAATTTGAATACCCTGACCAACATCAACAGATTCTCATGAAAGATTTCATTTCCTCTGCAATAAAATATATATTTTTGGTAAATAGGTATTCATTACTAGAATCCTTTCCTGTACCATAGTTACTACTATACATGCTATAGACATGTTGACAATGCTTGACTGATAGATGGAGTTACATATTTAAAAAAAAATTATCCAAAACGGGTCAAAAAGATATGGTGTTGATCTACACGAGACAAAAATAATCTGAGATACTGGGAAATAATGTATTCCATTGCTGACCTTCATCTTGACTGTAGCTGGTGGTCTTTATAAAATAAATTTATAAACCAAAATGTGTTTTTTTTTCAAATATAATAAGGGGCCCATCTTTGTTAGCATGAAAAATATGAAGACACCAAATTCTTTACCTTGATCATAGTGTTGACCTTCAAGTTGGAATATATCATTGCTATGTAAAGACTTATCCAGATGATTTTTTAAGATGCCATTTAATAGTGTGGGTGATGTCTCAATGATATATATTCTTATCATTCTAATTATAAGCTTCATAGGATGCAGGAAGAAAATATGGCCTCTAAATTTTCTCTAAATGCAATCAAGACTGCATTCCACAATATTTGCTACACATCTAATTTAAAATTTAGACCAAAAATTTCATGTATCTGATTGATTTCTACAGAAAACTCACAAATTTTTTTAGTATTCAAATTTTCAGATGATAAGACCATTGAACATACTCCACAAAATATGATTAAAGAGTCATTGCAGATGTTGATGAACATGACGAGACAAGTGATGGTTAGTTAAGAGGAATAATTACCAGTAGTACAGTAATAATAAATGGGATTTAAGTAAATTTAATCTGCTGGTCCGTGTCGCCTGAAAATTACAATATCTTAACAAAATCAAATGAAGGGTGAATAAAGAAAAGATCTATAACCTCTGCTGGCCAAGGAAACATTTGTAATACAACTTATATTCTTGTTACCATTCAATAGAAAGAAAAGCAAGTTATGAACAAGAATTTTATTTCCATTATACATAACATCAAACTTTCTTCCAAGTTTTCACTTGTGGCTGATATGGATAAAATCTATACAGTCCTTTCTTCAAAGTTGGTAGTTGCATTTGGTCCTTTTTACTCTTAGGAGGATAATTCATAAGTCTTGGAACAATAAATAGTCGTTTTCTGCCTTTTAGAATTTTTCTCCAAACAGCTTCCTTTAATCCTTGGTTAGCGAGCACAGTTTCTAGTCCATGTTTGTGAGCCCTCTTCCAG